ATCGCCATCTTGCATGATACGTCTAGCTTTTGCAAGGACAAAAGAATATCCTTGTCGAGTTCCAAAACTACTAGCTGACAGCTATACAAAACATATAGTCTAGTTTTAAAACAATGCTTTAGCGTGGAACCAAAGGGCGTCCAGGCCTACCGAGAGGATACCTTGAGGCTGGAAGCAAACCGAAACCCCAAGATTGAATAAACTTCATGGCCCACGAGAACCTTGTATCTGGGCTCCTTTAAAGCGGCCTAGTATTAATAACTGAATGTTTTGGAAAATATCTCATCAAGTCAGTTGAAGCTTCAGTTACTGGATATGAATAGAGCGAGTCATCCAATTTCGAAACAAGTTCCTCGAACATCATCTCGAAACAGCCCTCGCTCACGCTACAATTAGTGACGGATTATTCCAACGAAGCCCAGGATTTGTCTCTGACCTATGGGCATACGACAAGGGGAAGTCATGAGTCTTGCTAGGAGTTTTCCGCGGTTCTGGATGCCCCCACAATGTATAAAGTCAGAGACAAGTTACCAGAGGCAGCCAAAAGCTTGCACTACTCGGCGAGAGTCCGGAAGCCAGTCAGGGAAATTACTAGAAATATTCAGATGCCTAGTTGGGCTGCGGATATGATTAAAGAGAGGCATAAAACTTTGCTTGGCACGATAGGACAGTCTGTTGCACGACAGACGGGTGCATATATCTAGGCGTCGGGCTAATCCTTTGCTTCTTCAAGATACTTGACATTCCGCTATATGCAAGTAGACTAATAAGCTGCAGATCTGTTACCAACGTGGTCCCCATCTTCAATGACTCTTGCCCTGCATGCGTCATACTCTGGATGACTTGTCGAAACTTGGCGAAATTCTTCCCGTGTACTATCCAAATAGCAAAAAGTTCAAGACCTTGAATCGATACATATCATTTTATCCACGTATGCTGAGGCCATGCGCCTTGGGGTACAAATTCGTACTCCACGGGCCGTTCCTTTTAGGACCCCCCAGTGTGGTAGACTTTGTGTACCTCCAAAAACAAAAGTCTAATTTAATTAATACACAACTACTAGCACATGGGGATAAAAAAATAAAGACGACAAAGAACAGCCATTGGGTCAGTTTTGGGCTGAATGCTTCCTTGTCAATCTGCACGATGAGACAAGCGGGCCGGCCAAAATGCCATTAACGATCCATTTCAGAGGGATAGAGTGGATTCCTTATGGTGGTATGTAAGACGGTCCGACTGTCTTGGTTGCTAAGCTACATGGTGGATGAACACAAGAGAGCCTACACGCATGAAGATGCATATGCAAGCTGTCGGTCTAACGGCTCACAATTTGGGGGCCACGAATGGCGAGCCGGCCATGCCTTTGTTAAAGATACATGCAGTGAGAACTGACTTCACCTGCAGTCGGTGCTCGTGGGAGCTACATCTACTAAGAACAGACATTGATGGCCCCCAAGACACTGTCTCAGGGGCGTGTCATGTTGCTAGCAAGACAAAATGTTCCAAAGGAACTTTGAGACAACCGGAACCGTTGGTACACAGACACTTCATACACGGTAGACACCCTCTTCTTTGCATGGCCCCCTTTGCGAGAGTACCGAAAAGTAGTTGATCTAAACTAGCATTACTCCTGTCTGTGGCGAAGGATTTATTTGCGGTAGGGCGATCGATACGTGGTACAACAAAGAAGCGTCTTCCTCTCTGCCGAATAGATGCTGGAAATTCTTGGCTTGTCATCATAGTAACATATTCTAAACCGTATATTGGATATAGCGTGTCACTTCTTTTTGGCACATGAGCGGCCCGCGATGTCGTTTACTTTAGCTTCTGTTGTAGCCAGTCTTGTCGCATTCGGTTGGAAGTTGTGATCCCCGGGAATCCCTCATAAGTACTCGGCATATTCCACGTATCGGCCATCTTACTGACATGATACGTTATGGCAGCGCATACTGTCCTTGCACATATCCAAGGCAACAAAGGAAAGGCTGGTTACTTTAGCCTCAATGGAGTGTAGCAGCGGAGATGAGCCGCATCTCATGGTATGACGATGTAAACCGAATGCCCACACAGGGTGACAGCTTGATAGATAATAGCGACAGGACATGCCTGCTGTGGGCATTGAAGATATGGTACTGGGAGTCCAGACGTCGACTCGCAACAGTCAAGTCGAAGTCGGTTCAATGCCAAGAGCAACCCGCTGTATTCCTGTAAGCGAGTTGCCTAAACTGGCCAAACTGGTCCGTCTTGGCGAACTAGCGAACTATGGGCCCAGTTTATTGCCGAGGTTCCTGTCCCACCGAGTGACTGGAGAAATCATCATCAGTTTGATTGGCAACCTCGAGCTTGGAGGCATCAAAGGCGACACATACGGAAGTACTCTGCGCATCTTGCTTGGTCTTGTCAACTGCCCAGCTCGACCTGCGCGTTGGATTTAAAGCTTTTGGCTTCTTCTACCTGTTGGCCTGGGCTCAAGACCGAACTCCGTTCAGCCCGTTCGTCTTATACCAGCTGGACCATGAGCGACGAAAAGCGTGCCATGGTAGAGTTCCAAGAGACCCTTGAGGCGGCCCAGCAACGTGCAATGGCATCATGTCGCGAGTGGCCACGCATGGGTTTTGAGGAATTCCTGGAGCTTATCCAGGTTCCCGAAAATATCCATAGCCAAGGTCCCGGTGTGAAACGGTACATGAGCCGTCAACCCGCCTGGATGGCTGGAAACGAGCTGCCGTGGGATGAACTGTTCCGGAACTTGAAGGGTCCTCGGCCACGACACAGCGGACTGGGAGTTTTTGGAGGTTGCGTGTATGCGCAAGCGCCCTTGGCTGCCGCGAGGGCCATCGAGGAAGAGGAGAGGCGGCAGACTGCTGCTACTGGTCTTGTCAGGCCTGTACCCGGTATTCACGTAAGTCACTCTCGATTCAATATGTGCTTCGCAAGTCTTACAATGTGTTTACCATGGTGAATCCCCAAGACATGTAAATGTATCTGCTAAACATGCGGCTCTAGTCAATACAGGGCATCTTCACCGTCCCGGGGCTGGGTGATCGCCCGTTCATATTCGATGTCACTAACATAATCTCTGGCCGCTCGTTCTTTGGCCGCCAGGTTAATGTTCGACAACCCAAACAGCCGTCCTCAGATCCAGCGGGTCCTTTCCCCGACTCAGACGCCGAGCTCCCTCTCGGGGACATCTGCTTCAGCTGTATTACTACCTTCAAGCGGCCAGCCGAGGGCGTAGACGACGTTCAATCCCCCATATCTGCTCAGAAACGCTACGCCGATGTATTGTCTCAGAGAGCCCCCGACGAATGGGAACCTGCGCCACAATCCGACATCGACATCATCACGTCTCTATTCAAGGACTTCAAAGGACACGGAGGCTTCCCGTTACTGGACATGCACAAAGTCGACATGTCCGAGTACAATAGCGACAAGGAGGTCCCCGACCGTATCCAGCTGATGTTGTATCGGCCCATGAAGCCCATTCCTAACGACGATGCCAACGGACACATTGTGTGCCATGCTTTCGAAGCCGACAGGAACGGGCTGATCATGCTTGGCAACCACATGGGGTACGGATTCAACATGGGCAAGGCAGCCAGTCTCAGCTATTCCTTCTATGTCCACACCAACCCCGACGAAGCCGTCATGGATGGTGATGGATGGTGGATTCAGGAAATCAACTGGCCCAGAGTCAGTGCCAACAGGTGCATGATGGAGAGCAAGATTTGGAGTCCAAAGGGGAAGCATGTGGCCAGTGCCTACCAAGACGGCATGCTTGTACCGGCAAAAGAGCCGATGGAGGTGAAAGATTCTGAGCTGTGAGGTGTCTGAATTGTGGTTTTTCTGCTTCTGGTCATTATGATTCTTGTAGATTTTGTAAGTAGATCCACGGGATGCATCAGGTGTTGAGACGGCACAAAGTAGCGACTGGAATGATGGTTGCTGTTCATGTTTCCCAACCAAAGACTGGGAAAGCACTTGAACAATCAGGCAAGAGACAAGTCAAGTTCGTTTGCAAAGGTAGCAGCCTGTCTGGTGAACCAGGCACCATGCTGTCAGCTGGCAGAGCGGATGCGCCCAGTTGGCGGCCGCGTGTCAGGAAAACATGAACCAGAACGCGTATATAAATAAGAATACATCTTGCCATGTTCTCAGCGCATTTTAAGCCTCCCTATCACCTCTCTCCTTTCACCGCACAAATTCGTTTGATTGTCTCTCTACTAAGACAGTCAAGGCAGCCTCCTAAAGCAACGTGATTTTAGATTAAAAGAGGATAAGGTGTTTTTATACTCGCTGTCTTGCCTTCTCCCTTGCTTTCTTAGACTTTATTCTTTTTTTTTCACCCTTGTTTTAAAATTTTGATTCTTTGGCTCTTGATTCACAACGTAGCATCGCCAACATATCAGAGGCCAACCCACGGCGATTAGCTCAACAAGTCTCTGCTATTTATATAGCTCTGTCAAAACCTCCAAGAGGGTTTTTTCACAACCGATGACGAGAATAGGGACGACTTTCTATCGAATGTTGAGCAGCTTTACTCAGGTAAGTGAATTTTAGCTTTAAGCATGCAGTAAGGGACAAAACTTATTTTATGGCTCTTATGTACATTTATATGCTAAATATAGCAGTGACAGCCTGCCTCTTCCCCATTCCACTGCAAATCTCATTCTATTATGGCGTTGCAGTTGAACCAAGACGTGTCGCCCAAGCCAATGGCGACAACACAACAGACCCAGACTGAGCAATATGCGGCGGTTGGCACTACTACAGCGAGCTCTCCAGGTCCGGGTTTTTAGGAGACACTTCGGACAAGCTACGACAGCGTCTATGCGCTTGATGAGGCTGGGTCCGTCTACAAGGCACCCAATTCTTTAAGAGGCGTTCCAGTCGAAAAGATCACCGAGAATTCCTTGTATTGGGAACGATCTTGGGATTCCTTGGATGGCTTTATCGCCTACGAAGAGGAGGAAAGGTCTCTAAAAAAGAACTATCAAGCCATGAAAGACGCAGAGCCGAACAACATAGCGATACGGAAGAGAGCTAAATTCCATCAGGACAACATGAGTAAACACGTCAAGATTCGAGAGATATTCGGGCTTTGCAGCCCGTACCACCCAAATCAACTGGTAGCCAAGCAACACCTGCCCCTTGAAGGCTTGTGCCAGAAGGAACTCATGTACCGCGTTGCGTGTAAGATCTCTGACCTCAAGGTTCTAAATGACCGAGGAATCCTAGCCATGGACGCCTGGGACTTTATCCGCTGGCGTATTGGACGGAAGCTCGAGGAGCGACTGGACCGACCGGGCCAGAGTGGGAGGCATTTCGTCCGGACAATCATCTATAAGTTATGCGACGAATCCAAGTACAGTTCTACGGCGTATGAAGACTCCGTCATGCGGCAGGCAGTGCTCGTCTCTGCTCAATTTCAAAACCGCATAGCAAGCTTCAAAACGAGTGCCACCAAAGCTGGCAATTCCGCGGCCATGCCCGTGGATTCAGCTACACCGCGTAGAAGCACAAATGAAGCCAACAGAAAGCGAAATCGCCGCACCGGTGGCCCTCAGCTAGGACAAAATGCCTCGGCACAACGGGCTGAGGAGCGGCGACAGCGTCGAGCCCAGCTTGCTGCGCGGTCGGGAAGCTACCAAGGTGTAAATGCTTTCAGGGACATGCAGCGGGACCGACTGGTTCCCCAGCAGGGACATTCACTTTGAAAGCTTTGAAGAAGTTTTGTAGGGGGGGGTTTTCGGGCAGGTTTGTTTTAACTTTTTATGCTGATATCGCCAGAATATGCGGGTGTCTTGGGATTCAGCATCTCCTCATTTGGTACAGTTTCCTGGTGAACTGAATGGGCAGTAGTGCCGCCGAGAAAGGGGGGTCCGGAGGGTCAAATCATTGCACAGGATACAGAATGTTAATTGATTCAGATCTTGTAAAGGCCTCTTTTTTTTAGAAATAATCGTTCCATGTAAAAATATGTAAAGTTCCAGGCGCCTATGAGGTTGCAAACAGCAAGCTTTCACGGAGGCTCGGCTACGGCAAAAGAGCTTCTGGGCGGATAATCATCGGTCGCTTGTGATTCGCTCGCCCATGATTGGTCAATTACCAACGGAATATGGAGTAGCTTCGGATCAGTCAACTTCGTCTCCAAAGTCAGCCCATTTCACAAATCCCTCGACACCTTCTCAAACACATCGCCAACTCGCTCGCATCGACGGCAACGACACCATGTTCTTGCAACGCTCCGCCATCGCCGCGGCTCGCCGCGCCGCCGTCTCTCCTGTCATCGCCCGCTCCTTCACCACCTCCTTCGTTCGCCGTACGCAAATTTTCCCTGCCGTCCGAACACGACGCCCGTGTTGTCCTACTGTTACCCATCATCTTCTGACCATGTACCACAGGTGAAGCTGCCAAGGGCCCTACCACTCCCAATGAGCAGGCTGCTGCCCTCGCCGGCACCGCCCAGAAGAAGGTCGGCGACTACAAGGTTCTGAATGGTACGTTTGGCGCGATGGGGATAGGAATTGGGGAGCTGGATTTCGTTAGCCTCGGTCGGAGGGGATTGGAATCCCAAATGCGATTTCGCTGACAATTCCATTTCAATGCAGATATCAGGACTGAAGATGACCTTTTCGGACCTGGTGCTCGCCCTGGTACCGTCCCTACCGATCTCGAGCAGGCTACCGGTCTGGAGCGTTTGGAAATTCTCGGCAAGATGGAGGGTGTTGACATCTTCGACATGCGCCCTCTTGATGCCAGCCGTAAGGGAACCATGGAGAACCCTATCATGGTCCGATCCGCCGGTGACGAGCAGTATGCTGGCTGCACTGGCTCCCCTGCCGACTCTCACGTCGTCACCTGGCTTGGCGTAAGTGATGACCGATTTGCCATGGTTATGCCCAAATGTATTGGGGGTTACGGGAACTAACTACTCGAATTTTACAGCTCTCCAAGGAGCGTCCTATTGAGCGATGCCCTGAGTGCGGCAGTGTCTACAAAATGGATTACGTCGGCCCCGAAGATGACCACCACCACCATCACGCCCCGGAGTTCGAGGAGCCCAAGACCTTTGCCGACTTTGTCAAGCCTGAGTACCGATATCGATAAATTGATTCTATTGTAATATGGGGCGGGGAATGGTACAAAATCGTGTATTAAGGTCAATTTGCTGTAGCTGCTAGAGAGGGAGGCGAAATATTCCACTTGGCGAGGAGTAGCGGCTGTGTAGATTTACAGAGAAATTATTTCTATTTGTCTCTTCAGAGCCACGCGCCACAGAAGACGTGTTCCGCCATGTATGCTACTACTGATGTCAAGGAACAACTGTGCCTGTAGTCCTGTGGTTTTGCAGGTCAAGTATCGCGAATAGCATGTGTGATGCCCTTCTGCAACTCAAATAGAGATGTACGATGCGTGCTGAGCTTCCCACACTCTAAGTACTGATATCGATGCGGGATCGTGCTAGACAGCGTCTGTTTGCGGTGATACACACATCGGCTCGAGGCCAATCCAGTGTGACTTGTTGAGGAGTCACTCGGCGGTACTCGCCTTGCATCTGCTTAGATACCGGGCCGGTGTGATGTGATATTTCTCACCAAGTCATTAGCGATATGGAGTAGTGCTGGTGTCGCTCGCTTCTGCCATCACACATGTGATCTCACAAGACCTGAAAAGAGACTCTGCGTTTTCGCCGACGATCTGAAAAGTGGGCATCCCAAGGCCCTTCCCGCTCAGCCTTCGTCCTCGTCAAAGCTTAGCTTAATCTTTTTGGCCTTCTTCTTGACCTTCTTATCAACAGGAGCTTGCGCACCGCCAAGCTTGTCCTCCTGTTGATCCTTCCCATCATTGCCTGAGCCATGGCTCGCACGCTCACCAATTACTTTCCCGACCTTGCGCTTTCGGGCTCCGATAGACGCCGTGGCAGCGGCATCCCTCTTCACAGCCTTCTCATCCAATTCCGCGCCCCCGGTTTCGTCTTGACCACTCTTTGTCTCAGTCCCTTTGACTGTGCCGTCCTTCTCGAGCTGCAGGTCCACCGCGTTCCCGTGCTCGTCGACAACCAGCGGCGCGTCCTCCGCCTCTTCGCTGTCTGACCTCTTCTTGGCGGACCGCTTCTGCGCCGCTAACAAGGGATCAGGGCCGGCGGCTCCTGCGGATTGCGCATGAAGGCGTGCCAGGAACGGCGGCAGAGAGGCGTTGTAGGAAAGGTTCTTGGAGGTGATTTTCTCAGGCATGGTGTGTAGTGTTGTTATAAGCCCTGTGGTGTGTGTGAGTTTTGATTTCCAGCTTGTCTCACAAGCGCAATAGGCCACTGTCTCCGAGAGAAAACTGCTTGTTCATCGCGATTTCATCTCCGATTCACCCTTCACACAAGCCAAGTCGTTGTTTCTCAGACACAGCACTCAGACGCTCATTTGGTATGGTATGCAAGGCCAATGCCAATCATCAGGGTGGCCGGAATTATAAATGATCCAGCAGCTTAGCTACAGGTTGTTTATCTCCTTGCTTTGAGTCCAGTGTCCACTCCACCGTGTTGCTGCTGATTGGGCAAGGGGCATTTTACGTGACATGGGAGGAGGACTACTGGCTGGCATGGCTGCTGGCGTGGCTCTGGCTTGGCTCTGGCTCGGCTGCAAATGACCGGCATGGGCGAGAGGCGAAAGCACTCAGCACTCAGAGGTCAGAGGGCCAAAAAAAGGCTCGCCCCGGCCCCGTCCAATGAGGCGCCTCCAGAAACAGCCAGGTTCTAGTAGCCGCAGCAGCCAAATTGTCAGGAGCGATCAATTTGGCAACCTCTCCTGTCCCAACTCTCGACAATACGTCCTTCTTTTCGCAGAGGACCGGACCATTCCTCCATCTCGACTTTTTCCGACGCCAGAGTGTGCATTGACTGCTCTTAGTGCGCATCGTGACCGTTCATAGCTCGGCCGTTGCTCACTGCACTGCGCTCCGCTTGCGCCGACTCTCGACGCGTTGGGCCTTGGCGAGGCGATTGATTCTGATCCCCTCTGTTTCGCCTGGGGGCCGGGACACCCTGTCACTCGTTCAACCACCATTTTAAACTGGACTTGTTTTTTGACGCGGACGATTCTTGTTTTGCTGCACGCTCTACGGGTAGAACAGAAAGGCGTGAGCGTCGAACAGTGTATATTTCCATGCTTAATCATTTCGTTTTGCTGGATCTGCTTCTTTTACGATTCGGTTTCGACCCCTCTGACACGACCAATTATTCGACCCTTGACAACCCCCCTTCAATCAGTAATTGCTGCTACGAGAGACTTGCGAATCCGACTTCGACCGGCGGCGTTGTTCCATTGCTAGGCGCTCATACGTATTACTTCTTTCTGCAAATACGGCGGTATCTCTTTCAATATGGATCTGTTTCGAAGAGCCTCGAAAATGGTGCCTGCGGCCCCAAACCTACCGCTTCCGGCCCATGATGAGAAGAGAGGAGCAGCAAAGAGGAATACGCTGGCATCAAGGTTGGCGTTTTTCCGCCGGCCATTGCGGTTACGGGGCAACTCGACTGTTTCTGTGCCTCTGGGTGTCGTCCTCATTTTCCCTCTGCTTGTTGTCGTCCTTATCTTGGTGCTGTTTGTCCGACATCCCAGCTCTCCCGGGAGAATATTAATGCCTGCTGGCGCTCCTCCCGCCATTCGGTAAGTTGCGAACAGTTGCGAACAAATATCGTGGTGGTCCATGCCACTAATCGACACATTCATTCACAGGAAAATTAGCGAAAAGCACGACAAGGTGTTTGTCACTGGCTGTCTAGAGCCTGATACCTCCCAGCCTCGTGCTAACGCTACCTTTGTTGTACTGGCCAGAAACAAGGAACTGGACGGTGTTGTTCAATCGCTCAAATCTATGGAGCGCCACTTCAACCGATGGTACCACTATCCTTACGTTTTCCTCAACGACGGCGAATTCGATGACCATTTCAAGGAGACCGTTCGTAACCACACATCCGGCCCTGTCGAGTTTGGCAGAGTTGGTCCCGACATGTGGGGTTTCCCCGATTGGGTTGACCACAAAGTCGCCAAAGAAGGCATCGCAAAACAAGGAGATGCTGCCGTCATGTATGGTGGACTGGAAAGCTACCATTTCATGTGTCGGTTCTACTCAGGGTATGTTTCTTGTTTATTGGCATCACCGAAATGTTCACAATACTGATGCGGAAAACAGCTTTTTCTACAACCACCCGCTTCTTCTAAAGTACGAATGGTATTGGCGAGTTGAGCCTGAGATTACTTACTTCTGCGACATTACATAGTAAGTTGGCCGCTGCAATGCCGTTGCTTTACGTCACGATAATTAACAAGGACTAGTGACCCATTCTTGAAAATGATTGAGCACAACAAGACATACGGCTTTACGATTGCTGTGAAAGAACTTCGCGAAACTGTTCCCAACATCTTCCGCTATGCTTCGGCTTATAAACGGCTGAATAATCTGACGTCTCAAGGCCTTTGGGAAATGTTTGTCGAGCCCAGGGATCCAGCTGAAGAAGAGAAAAAGAAGGAACAGCTTCCCGATGAAATTTTGAGGAACGATCCCGCCAATAATGCTCCCCCAAAGGTTGATCCCGAATCGATGGAAGGCGAGAAATACAACATGTGTCACTTCTGGTCCAACTTCGAAATTGCAAGGCTTAGCTGGTTCAGAAGCAAGGAATACAACGACTTCTTCGAGATGATGGACCGCAGTGGTGGTTTCTGGATGGAAAGGGTAAGTCATTGGACTCTTGTCGTCGCACATGACATTTCGCCTTTCAGACGCTAATTTCATTTCAGTGGGGTGACGCCCCTATCCATTCGCTTGCTGCGGGTGCCTTGCTGGGCGTCAAAGATATCCATTACTTCCGCGATATCGGCTACAGGCATACTACTATTCAACACTGTCCCGCCAATGCCCCATCACGACAGCTTCCTCGCACACCATATTTAGAAATGACAACGCTTGACGAAAAGAAACGTATAGAAGAGGACAAGTATTGGGAGGACTGGGATGAAGTAAAGGAAAATGGCGTCGGGTGCCGATGCCGTTGCGACACTGATATTGTTGATGTGGAGGGGAAGGAAGGCTCCTGCCTCGCTGAATGGGTAGATGTTGCTGGCGGTTGGGCTCCTTAAATTGGAGACGGAAAGGCCAAGTCATTGCAAATTGGCTGTGGGAAAGTTCGCCTGTCGAACGCATTAATCATGCCAACAGCACTCCTTTTTTTCTTTGTGCTGTCTTAGACCGGCGAGCATCAGACGGTAGCATGTGGCAGCTTGCAGAGCAATCCGCTCACTTTTGCAAGTATGCCCTGTCAATTTCGCCCAGTGACAACGACAGTGGGAAGAAAGTCGATTACGACACGCTTAAACAGGGAAATCATAGGATGGCGAAAAGAAGAGGCGGCGTTTTGCTCCATATTCACAGCGGGGAGGAAGCATCGGCGCGCATGTCTCACCTAACGATTAGGAGGGAGATGCTACAAGCATTTTGTTTTACGTCGGGTTTAATAGGTGCTCAGGCAACAGGATTTATATTTGGTCGCCAATTCTTAGAGGTGGGATATGCATTTGTACTTTAAAAGAGCGAGACAGGTATTGTGTTCTACAGATATGGGACGTGGTACTTTTTTTTGGACATGTCGGACTAGCGAACGGTTTTTTTTTTCCCCTAATAATCGCGTTTTGATTTGAAGTGCAATCGAGTGAAGCAAACGAGATATTAAACTTGGCTTAATTCTTCGAGATACAAATTCTATCGAGAGGCTCTGAGGGGGCAGGCCACGGTTCTCACAGATGCATGCCTACCTAGGTAGGTAGCGAAGACGCAGCATGGTTGTCCTATGATGGGATATACAACTGTTGGGTAAATCTGTTTATGTATCGTCAGGCAGTTCATTGGTGATCAAGCTGTCTTTGTTGTTGGACACTGGGGACTCGAGGAGATGGGGACCCACGTCGTCCTCTGGAGTCGAAACCTGGGCTTTGCAAGCGCCTTTCGCCTCAGGCACATGACTTGTGTACTCCGTATAATCGTGGTGTGGAGCTCTTCAGCGCCAACAGGTCTCTGCCGCTCTGGAAACGATCCAAAAAAAAAACCAGGAGCAAATATCCGCCCATCCATTGCTTCTCATCAACGCAATTGCACAGCCATGCCTCCTCGACTATTATCGCCCAGCAGTTCAATCTGCAGCAGGACCACTCCTACTGCGTCCGTGGGCTCTCTAGCTGCCTGCTTGGCAGGCCTGACGATTCAGCAAACCCGCAGTGCTTCCATTCTCGGCAGTCTCGCCAACAACAAGGGTGCTGTCCACAACAAGAAGCGAGTAGGTCGAGGGCCTTCGTCTGGCCACGGCAAGACATCTGGACGAGGTCACAAGGGCCAAAAGCAACACGGCAAAGTGAACGCCTGGTTCCAGGGTGGTCAAACGCCGTTGGTTGTGAAGCATGGACGGATGGGCTTTACAAATCTGTAAGGAAGCCTCCACCGGGCAATGTGAAAATGCACAGAGTATGGAGCTAACGCGAGGCTGCTTCTCACTCTAGGCGGGCACCCAAAATGTCGGAAGTAAACCTCGATCAGATTCAGGAATGGATCAACCAGGGCCGACTCGATCCCACGAAGCAGATCACGCCCAAGGAGCTTATCCAAAGCAAACTGGTAGGCGGCGTCAAGGACGGCGTCAAGATTCTCTCGCGCGGATCCGAATGCCTCAAGCAGCCCATCGACGTCATGGTTTCGCGGGCCTCGGCTGGCGCGATTGCCGCCATTGAGGCGGCGGGCGGAAAAGTCACGACGAGGTACTACACAAAACTGGCGATTCAGCGACTGCTGCGAGGCGAGTCCGTCAACACGGATATGCCCCTCCCCGTGGGCAAGGAGCATGTCGAGACTGTGCTCGCAGAGGCCAGGAAAGCGCCGTTCCGACATAGACTGCCTGACCCGACCAGCCGTCGCGATATCGAGTACTACCGAGACCCAGCACACAGAGGATATTTGAGTCACCAGCTGGCTCCTGGACAGTCGCCCAGTTTATATTTCAAGGTGCCTGGGGAGCATAAGATCAAGAGCGCAGCCAAGGCGGAGAAGGAGGCAACAGAAGAGACCTTGTGGTAGAGGATGGACGGTGGATTTGGGGGAATGGGGGGGGGGCTTTGTACTACTATTATGACGTGACTTGTAATCAATTGACATTGTATATACTAAGAGGAAATAAAAGGAAAGGTTTGACTGGTAC